GACCGAACCCGCCCCGCCCCGCCCCGAAGAGAATCGATGCCCCGGGTACGAATCGTGGTCCTCTGCCACTACCTCGCCCACCGTGGTAGGCGTTGCGGCGTAACTTCACCCAGGAGAGGGATGAGGATGTGCTATGGTACTTGACGTGATGTTCTCGTAGGTTTGAGTACAAGCGCGCGTACGTTTGATAGCTGTGGTGATGTCAAGTTTTAACCATACGCGTCGAAATCCGATAGTTGTGGTTTAAATAGTTTAAAAAATAGCGTGTACACATGTCTGGTATTAGCGATACTTTCATTAGGCTTAAAAAAAAAAAACGCTTTTATCATCACTTCAAAAGAACAAGAGCGGATTAAATAAGCTCGCTCTGCCTCCCTGACGCGGCGGCCGGACATGATGAGATCCATCGAATTCCGAAGCTACGCGAGTAAATCCTCCTTGTAACCGGCGAAGAGAAAATCATCCGAAATCCATACATTCCGAGGGACTCCTTCCAATCCGGAATGGGAATAAGCCTGACCCAGTGCCGACGGGCCGATCGCGAGCCAGCTGGAATCAATGACACTTTCTCTCGTGACAAGTGACAAGGACAGGGCTGCTCCTGCGGTTGCATGTCTTGTCTCGGGGTCGTGCTGTTGCCATGACCTTCCTTCCATTCATGGAGGGGAAACGTGTAGAAATCCCCCCCCCCCATCATCCCCACAAGAACCTATCAGTCATGTGTCAAACCTGGCTGATTTTAGACCATTCCATCTTTGATATTTTGTAGGTAAACTAATATCAAAAATAGTTGTAATAATATCAATATAATAATAATAGTAGTAATAATATCAATAGCAATAGTAGTAGTAATATCAATAATAGTAGTCAAATAGTAGTAGTAATATCAATAATAGTAGTAATAATATCAATAATAGTAGTAGTAATATCAATAATAGTAGTAGTAATATCAATAATAGTAGTAATAATATAAATAATAGTAGTAATAATAGCAATAACATTAACGATAAGAGTAATTATAAAAATAATAAATTACAATACTACTAAAAATTATCACAACTAAAACAACAGCAGCAACAACAACAACAGTCATCCCCATTCCTAATAGCAACAGACGTCCCCTGTTAATCGCGAGCCCAAGAGACCCCAAAGCCCCCCAAAGCCCCGAGCCCTTCCCTCCGCCCCCCCCCCCCGACCACCCTCTCGCTTCCCTTCCGACAAGAGCAACACTCCTGGAGGCGAGACGCGGGCCCAGACGACCGCCGGGGAAAGAGCTTTAAGACGCTGAGGCCGTTCACCTCACTCCTTTCCTCCCTCCCCCCCCCCCTCCTCCTCCTTTCTCCCTTCCCTCTGGACCGCACTACTTCCCTCCAGCTCCCATTCCCTCCCTCTCCATCTCCATCTTCTCCTCCTCCTCCTCCCTCAGCCTCCTATCCTTCGCCCACTCGCCCTCCCTTCCTGGTGGGTTCCACATCTGGTGCGTCTCTTCTCTCCAATCTTTATCTCATCTCTCTTCTCTCCCTCTCTCTCTCTCTCTCCTTGGCAATAGCATCAATAACGTCTCCGATAACGCCCCTCCCCCTCTAGCTACCCCCCCTCCCCTTCCCGCCCACCCCATAGCTCACCGTCATATCTTGCAACTGATGGCATTACCCTCTATCATTCTCGCTTGCATTATTGAATCCCTCTTCCCTCTTTCCCGTGTAGCTCCCTTTGTTATCTCTAAGCCCTTCCTCTTGCCATTTCCTTCCTTGGCCATTCATTAATAACTACCTTTAACCCCTTCCATTCCCATTTTCACTTTCAACTGCAATTTTGTTTAATTTGATGACCTTTTACCATGTCCCTCCGTTACCATTCGCCATCAAGATAACCTTAACCCCTCCATCATTACCCTTATCCCCCCCCCCCTCCACCCCACACTTAAGAGGGGCCAGCGCACGTGTTCAGTCCTTCATCTTAGTGGAAAATCGCGTTTTCTGTATGATCTAGTCCCTATAAAAATGAAATCAAAAAGGCGTCCTTGGCCTTCCCGATATGCGGTGGTAAGGTTTTAAAAATGCCATTTCCAATTTATTCCTCGGCAAATCAAGTATGAGAGAGAGGTTGGCGGCGTCATTAAACTATTTTTCTTTAGTGCATCAAGAAAAAAATCCGCACATTAGCTTAAATAATATAGACGTTGTAGTTCCCCCACTCCCTCCGCCGTCATTTTGCTAACGAGCCGAGAAACCGCATCCCCCAAACAAAAGCCTGGTCGTGGCGCGGACCACCTGTCGTCCTCCCAAATGCAAACGACTACACTCTCACTCCTTTGAAATTACGTAAACAAAACCTCAAAAACAAACAAAAAAGCAGCAAGTGTCTACGTGAAGTGCCTACAACGCGGTAGGCCTACATCCTCTAACAGGCGCGGCGGGCCTACACACACGCGAAGGTCGACGGCGAAACCGCCCTTGGAGCCACGCGTTCGATCCCCGCCGCAGCTTTCCCTCCGCGACCTATCTAAGACCAGGAACTCTCAAACGAGGGCAATTTAAGATCGGTGTTATTGTACAAAGGAAACGACCGAAGATGTGTATTCTCATTACCGTTCTCTCTCTCTCTCTTTCTGTATTTATGCGTCTGCGTCTGCGTGTATATTTATATCCGTAAGACGTGGATTTACCTGCACAACAATGAAGGGAAAATCAATGCAAAGAAAAAACGACCATCACGAGGACTGTGACACTGACAAAAAAATGTCAGCTTTTTATCAGCTTGTACTATCAATGTCACCTTTCTTGCATCACGCAACCAATGGTTTACAACACGATCGCTTGTCCAATATATTCTAATGGTGCCATTTCTGCTACCCCTCGCCATCAATGCCGAAGTGATTATCTTTTATAGATAAAAATATCATGGCAATCATTAACAACAAAATCATCATGGTCATCTCTCACAGCTGCTCTCGGCGCCTAACCTGCACCTCTGGGAGTGACATGCAACCGGGAAGTTCTGGCCATCAAAGGGTGAGGAGAGTGGAGGAGGGGGAGGGAGAGGAAAGGAGGAGGAGACGGGAAGAAGGGCGAGGCAAAGGTTAGGATAAGGAAGGAAGAGGGGAGAGGGAAAGCAGAGTAGGATGGAGAGGTAAAGGAGGAATAGAGAAGGGAAGGGCAGATATTAGAGGAAATGGGACAGATATGTGTAGAAGTGAAGAGGGAAGAGGAATAGAAGAGAAGAGAGCACAGGCAGGAGACAGGAAACGATGGGGAGGTGGAGAGGGGGGATAGCAACCCTTGGTAACGCAGATTTCTCTTCTCCCCCCCCACCTCCTCCCCAAGGAAGGACTTCGGTGTCTGGCACGCCTTTGACCAAAGAAGGGGGAGGGGGAGGAGGAGCGGAAAGAAAATGATGTTGGAGTAGAGATCTTAATAGCAGAGTTTCCCCTTGGCGACAGAGAGGAAAATCAGTAGAAAGTTCTTTGCAATCTAGTTTCTACTCTCAACGGCGGGGGAATTTGTCGTTTTTTTGATGTTATGGAATATGAAAAAACAGACACGTAGCTTCAATTCTTTCCACTCTATATCATGCGTTTTGTGTTGTTGCGGCGAAAATGAAAACTTTTAAAATATATTTTTTTCTTATTTTAATTTGAATCCACATATCCCGGGGTTTGTCCATCACACATATCTGAATACGAGTTGCTAGACTGAACCTAGGGCTACTACCTGACTTCTATAATCCCAATCTAGGCAAAAGAAACTTTACGTAACCTAAAAATAGGGAAAAATCCTACGCCCGTTGAGGATGAACACAACCGGATACTTGTACTGGTCTTCTCGCCGCTTACTGCATTATTACGAAACACCTTTTTAAATTCAAATTTGCAATTGATGTGAACAAGAGGGGGGCGGGGGAAGGGAATGGCAGAGGGAGGAAGAGAGAAGGGAATGGAAGATGGGAGGAAGATGGGGGGAGGAAGAGAGAGAGAAGAGAGAGAGAGAGAGAGAGAGAGAGAGAGAGAGAGAGAGAGAGAGAGAGAAGAGAGAGAGAGAGAGAGAGAGAGCGAGAAGAGGGTGGGGGGAGGAGAGGAGACTTTCTTTGTTTACATCACACAAAAGCCACGTGATAAGTGAGAACGCAAAGCAATCTAACACGTTTACCCACACCCACCAAACCACCCATATACCTTCCTGAAATAACCTAAATCCACAACTTCAACAACTACAACACACAAATTGAAAATAAATAACATTACTAGAACATTTTCCATCAACACCTGGCAATCTTGTCCTCACAGTTGCCAGTTGCAAATAACGGTAAGCGAGCGGGGTCCAGCGGCAGGAAAGGTGGCTGGGTTTCCTCAGGATTCGTAGCTTGTTCCCTCTTTATTATCCTCTTGCAGCTTTTATCCTTTTGTATTCGCTCAATTTTAGGATATCCCTAGTCTGGTATCTTTTTGAATATATATAGTTTTGCGTGAATTTTGTCCTTGCTAAGTTTATCTTGTAAATGGAGTCTGTACTTCATTTTTACCTGAGTACTGCATTTCATTATTTACTTATTCAACTACTTAAATATGACGTTTCTCCTGCTCATGAAAATCTAGTCATAATTGGCTCCCAAAATTACTCTATTAACCTCAAGGACAGAAATTTCGACAAAATGCGACTGAAAATTCTCTTAACGCTCTAATGACGTTAATTTACTAACAATTTCACGGATTTGATAGCACGTGTCTGTCACTTCAAAAGTATTTGAATAGGTTTATTTTGCGACAATATTCCTGTTGTTTACATCTAAATAGTGGTTTCATATGGCTCTGATAATCCTAAAGAGCAGATTAAACTGTGAAGCTAGTAACTTGTTGCATATGAAACAATTTCCTCAGTAACGTTTCAAAAGCACCATTCCTCGCCGTCAAAACCAAAACCCAAAATCCCCCTAAAATGACACAATCCCTTCTTCCTTTTGAACACTTATTTAAACATGACACGCTGAACATCAACACTTAC